TTCGACAGCGATTTTTCTTTATCCTCTTTGGAAGAAAAGACACCTGGTAGAGGGTAAGAAATTTGTACCCTTCCTTACCAATTGCATGATTTACCATGCTTCAGTTCTATCAGAAATGAGTTAAGCAAACTGCATGTAAGAGAAAGGTCAAAACTGGTTGTAAATACATCTTAAAAGCTAAACAAACATACGCAACGAGCGTTCGCATTAAGGGAGAGTTAGTTTTCTGCATTCGTGTGCGTTCCTAAAACGTCATGCGACACTTTTATTCCAATGCTTGTTACACACCTATCATGTTTTTAATTAACAGGACATTTGATTCAGGAAGGCGGAATCTGCAGCCTCCAGGTAAGTTGATGCTTTTTTTTAATCGTTTCTGGCCTTAGGTTTTATTTCTGTTCTGTTAAATTTACTGCTGGCCGTCAGGTGTCAGGTTTTTTTATTTCTTTAGGTTTGGGTGGTCAATACGAAAGATTAAGCTAACCTAAGTTTACCAGTAATTATGGAATGAGTTTGACTTTAAAGAGGAGTTAAGTATTTTACTTTACACGTCAGTCTTGTAGGACAAGACGTTTAACCCCGAACTGGCAGAATCCTCAAGAGTATGTTTGCCGCTTCGTCCTACCTTTAAACAACCAACAGGATAAATGCTTAGGAGAGACATTAAGAACTTTGCTTTGTTTGCAGGTGGGTCCCAGTCCACTGGTCGACAAAGTCCTGTACTGCAGTTTAAAAGACCTCAGCCCCAGTCCACACGCGTGGAGGCTTTTACGCATGACGACTTCTCCGATTTAGAAGACGACTGAGATTGATATGCGCATGCACCTTCTATAAATCCTGGTAAATGTCAGGTGTAATTTATGTATGACGAGACCATGAGACTTGCGACGATATCGATCGTGAAATAATATAAACAAAACACTTTTCTACTGAAAAAAAGCTAACCAAGTTATCTTTCCCTAGAAAATAATTTTCTATTGAAGTCTTTGCTGTAAAGTATCAAAACGTTCCATTTGGGTCAGAGGAATTTTCTACTATTGTTAGGTGTAAAAAAATTATCCTGGCGTGTTTATATTGAATTTACTAAACCAAGAAACATTTCTCTCTGAACGGTTCTTATGGCCAATCAGATATGATTGCACGTGACTAATAACTTGTTCAGTTGACCACGTTTCTGGATCGATCAGAGGAGAGGCCCTGAGGACAAGGGTGTTTCTTAGCAACTGTTATGGAAATTCGGAATGGTGACGGGAGTGTTTTTCCTTTAATAACAACCCGTTCCCTTTTCAATGTATTTCGCAAGGTTGTGGTAGTGGTAATTTGCTGTAAGAATTTCTAAAGTGCCATTAAAATATACTTTACCATCTCTGACTACCACATTTCATGCAGCCGTCTCCAAAAAGACACGCGTGCACAAACACACAAGGTTAAGGCGTTCTCAATCTCGATCCTTGAGTCTTCGCTACCCCTCATCAGCGGTACGGGCGCGAATGATCACTCTTTCTCAACCGCTGGTCGAGGGAACGGGGACTCTGGAAAGGAGAGTAATCGCTTTCCAGTTGAGGAGCCTGGGTCGCTGATTTCCCAACCTTTCTAACCCATGGATGATGCGGAAAGAAAGACAATACAAAAACTTCATTTCCTGTGATTTCATTCTAAAATACCCGAATCTGTTGATTTTTACAGCTATAAATACATGCAGAAGATATTTTTTTCGCATAAGGTGAGGTTAATAAAGATTTCATCTTTCGTCTGATTAATTGTGGTGGCTGTTCTAAAACTTATTGACGAACGACGATAAAGAATGTCATTGAAAAATAAAGGTCTGCTTCAGATCGATTATTACCGGCGTTAACAGTAATTTTAAATCCAGAACCGTCATCGCCAGCTGCCGAGCAACGGTCAAGATTTTTAAAATGTCGCAGCTTTGGACCAGTTCAAGCTACCATAACGATAAAATTGTTTAAAAGATACAGTGTGCTGTTCTCACTTCCAGTCTCCAATTCCAAGCCACACAAAAGAGCAATAACACTTCTCCTTCGATGTTAAAAGTGTGGGTATGTCCACACGGTAGATTTATTCATAAAATGAGTACAACCTTATCTGCGGAGAATTCCAAAACTTTTCTATACAAATTGGATATGAACCTTAAAAGCCAAAAGTTGCACTAACGTCAGTTATTGGAAGGACTGCAAAGAAATGATATTTGATCTCCAGGCCCCGGTTGTTCGAAGGATGGATAACGTTATACACTGGATAAATCTCTATCCGGTGGATAGCGCAGTGCGTTTTGGTAACACTTATCCGCTGGATAGCGATTTATCCGTTGGATAGCGTTATCCGCTGGATAGCGTTATCCGCTGGAGAGCGTTATCCGTTGGATAGCGTTATCCGCCCTTTGAACAACCGGAGCCAGAACGTTAACTTTGGCAGATCACATCAAAGTACGTGTTTCATTCACAGATTTTGTCTTCACTCACAACGAAGCAAGTGGAACTTACCCTAAGATTATTATAATTATTACAATTGTGTACAATTATAATAATTATAATTGCCATAAATAGTAATTCTTCCAGTTCGAAATGTTTTTCCTCCTGGTATCTCTGTACAACATGGATTCCACAGTCAGCTTAAGGATAGATCTATTATTTTTACCCACAAAGCGCCAGGATGCTGTTTTAGTTGAAATGAAATTTGAACTGAAAACCTTCTCCAAACCCCCCACCGAAAGGAAATCCGCCTTGTTGCCAGTGTTGATGACCCCCACCTTGCTGTTCAGGGTCTAACGGGTCTTCACCATTGTCGTATTTTGCACGTTTTTCTATTAAAAAATGAAGGTGTTAAAACTTCGTTAGTTTCGTCTACTTTGACTTCCCTTTCATTCTAAGTCAACTTCCTTTAAGATCCCACCCAATGATAAACCATCATGATGCATCTATATGCATTATAAAACTAATGAGGGGGGAGGGGTAGGGTATATGTCGTTGTTAGAAAAGTTCTGAGAATAAACCAACTGTTTTACGCCTTTCCGTGATTAACTTTCATTCCTGGGTGGCGACATGATTGATAACAACATTTCAGATAAACTTTCGATATGCGTACAACTAAGCATG